GGGTCAATGCAGGCATTTGTTGTAATGGCGTTCCTTCTGTCACTGTGTCATGCAGGTTTAATAGCTAAAGGCAAAGTCTTGGGCACAAAGCGATTTCTCCTTGGCAGGATGTGAAGATGGCACACACTCCTGTGTGGGCCAAACATAGCCTGAGCAGCAAGGCCTCTCTGAATCATGGGGGATACACAGGACACAATGTCCAGATCAGTGCTGAGAGCACTTGGAGAGTCCGTATGCGATAACTGCTGTTTTTCCTAGAGCTCTAGTTCAGACCAAGGTCATATTTATACTTTATCTCCAAAGGAATTTTATGTGCTAAACATCAAGAGTAATTAAATACCTCAGGTTCAAGAGTCTAATAAACTTGCCGTGCCGAGATGTTGACTCTGAAATCCCCGTTACATAGACTACTCTGTCCTAGTTTTGAAAAACAAAGTCATCTGCTGTCAATCCGAATATCGTTTTATCACTCCACGTGACCTCCATCAGGTTAATATACTTTAGGAGCTTTCAAAAGGTCAGATTATTCCTTTAACACACTGTACAGAGCTGGGCAGAAAGCAGGAGTCATGTCGGTATGCCATCTGGATCAGCAAATACCTGATAGGTGTTTCATTTTGCTGGTTACACTAAAGTCTAGCACAGCGTATTTTAGAGGACTCATTACAGTAATGGAGTGGCAGTCTGGTAATAATATCAGATCATAGTATACTTAATAAAGAGTGTCAGATGTGGTTTTCTCAACATCGCAACATTGCGAAAACTATTGATCCAACAGGGTTGTGCAAATTGCAGAATTGCAGAACTGACTCCTTTTCAAGGAGTTGAATTTGAGCTGAATTGGCCACACCCCCACGAAGTTGAATTGATAGGAAAAGTAATTTATTGAATTGTAATTCAAAGAATTTCAACGCAGATAATTTATTCGCCAAAGGGCCATGATCATTATTATAATCAAATGCTTTGTGTTCGCTCACAGAACTTTTGCGTTCCCCTGAAACGTTTTGCTCAAAGGAATTAAAATATAGTTCTCCTCCTATCTCATATTATTTCCATCATCAGTTTAGAGAGTGCATGCAAAATTTTATGAATGAACAGAAATGCATTGCAATATCATTTTTTTCCTCCATCTCATATTTTTTTCCATAGAATGAAATGATGTGTTCTTCCACCCTCATCCACCAAACTTTAATGCATTTTATTTATTAAAATAAAATATCTAATTATCTATTTATTGTGAGTCTGTCTGTTTAAATGTTTTTAATGCCATAGCTCTACTTCCTTGTGTAAAATGAAGTAAATTTCTTTGAATTTCAATTCATTTTAAGCCTACTTCCTCGTACAAATTCAAATTGCAGTTATGCATTCAGTTTGCTATCTCATTTCCAACTCAACTCAAATTCAAGAATAGAATTGAAATTTAAAAGGTGTTCTCAGTCCAATAATGAATAGCACAAAACCCTGCAATGCAAAGCAAAAAATGACTTGAATGAAAATTAACAAATTCACACTTCTTATACCATAAACATTTAATCTGAACAAAATAGATCCACATTGCAGATTAGACGTTTTTGGTCAAACTTTGTAAAGAACTACTGTCTATTGCACCATATCAAGGTGTAAATGAGCTATTTGAAGTAGAAGACCATTTGAATTCTCATAATAGTAATCAAAGTGTTGAATGAGAATAGATGTGTTTGTGTAAAAAGACTCCTAGCAGAGCTCTTTCATCAGTCCACCTCAATCTTGTGTGGTCCGTTCAAGCATCTTTATGTGAATGCTATGAAAATAACTCATGTGACTCATTAAAAATCTACAGTGACTGTATAAGAAAGTGAGGTGATTCAGACAGAGCTGCGTCTCTTGGAGAAGAGCCTAAACGGTGAGATATTTCTCAGGTCAGCAGACACAGTGCTAATGGCTGAGCAGCGTTGAGGGTTACACGCGCAGCCCGTGGGGCCGGGTTCGAAGAAGTGGTGGGGCGAAACGTCTCCTTGCTCCATTAGCGCATCAGTGAAGGACATATCCTGCGGGAGGATCACCATTTTCTCTCGGCTTTTGTACCACAGGCAGGAGCACACTGTCTGGAAGTGGAGCACCTCAGCGTAGACGCTCTTCAGCCCTCGCCTTTTATCTCGCCCAACGGCGGCTGGGCTCGGAGGGTCCGGACGCCGTGAAACTGGACCTCTTGGTTTATCTTTGGAGAGCAGCGCCCTCTGCTCTGCGTCTCTTCTCTCATCCTCGGTGTTCATCGTCATGAACCGTAGCACCACTAGATTGAGGAAAGCACCAATTACCGTGAGGCCCATCAGGATATAGACAAAACTAAAGGCCACGTAATGAGGGTCATTCTGGAGAGCGTTGTCTTTCTGTAGGGCTACGTAGTCCCCGAAACCGATGGTGGTGAGGGTGATGAAACAGTAGTAGAAGGCATGGAAAAAGGTCCAGCCTTCGTAGTGGGAGAAGGCAGCTGCTCCTATGCACAAGGTGCTGACGCAGGAAAAGAAGCCGATGATCACCATGTTGGCCATGGAGACTTCCGGCCGCCGCAGACCCATGCATTTCTTGGCTTTGTGCAACAGGAAGCGGACGAAGGTGTTGATACGTTCGCCCAGGCTCTGGAACATCACCAGCGTGAGGGGGATGCCCAGAAGCGCATACCCCATGCAGAACGCTTTCCCAGCATCCGTACTGGGGGCGGCATGGCCATAACCTTGGGAAGAAGAGCAGGACAAGATAAGAGTTTCCAAAAAAAAAACAATGTTTTCATAGATGACTTGATGTGACATTGTATGCTTAGATGTCTGCAGACCTTAACCCCTTTAGACCCTGCATCAATTGGAATGGTTTAAACCAGGAGTGCCCAATCCTGTTCCTGGAGATCTACCTTCCTTCAAAGTTCAGCTCCAACCCTAATCAAATGCGCCTGAACCAGCTTTTCAGCAACATTTGGGCTGAAACCTAAATCATGATGACAAACACTTTGTAAAATAAATGGATGATTGGATGGATGATTCAGCTGCAGGCGCCATCTTCTGGCGAGATGCAGCAATTCATTCGGCGCGCGGCTCTTACAGTGCATTACGGGTATTCTCTCGCCGTTCAGTGTACATCAGTTGTACACTTGTTATTGCTGTGCATTGTGGGATTGAATGAGTACACTTGATGATGTCCACTAAGGTTTCGGAGACCACTAAAAATGGCTGTCCTCTCAAAGAGTGCCCTATTTAAGGGTATAGGGGGCGATTTTGGACACAGCCTTGGGCTACGTCCGAAAGCTTAAGCTGCTGATTTGTTGCCACGCTGTGCAATGACTTTGCAAGCAGTATTTGTGCACAAAGGTACCTCCTGAAACTGATTTCGGAGGCAGCATAATAGTGGTCTACAATAAGATAGAGAGAGCTTTGGTGATAACTAAGCAAATATTTAATTACTACAATATTAATTTCTTGCTAGAAATAACATCAAAAGTGTAAAAGTTGGTCAAAAGCATACATTCACACACAAACTGATCATTAACTGCTACTTTCAGACACCATCTTCATTCACAGAAATAAAGCTCAGAAAAGCTGTCACGAAATCAAACACACAGGATTGTGGGATATGAAAGGCTGTGTAAGATACATCCATGCTGCCTTCAAAAATTGATCAGATGTATCTCAGCCAACAGGATGACTGTGTCCGTAAGTTTAGCCTGCTGACTTGTTGCCTCGCTGCCTTATATCAGGCAATGGCTTTGTAGGCAGCGTTTGCACACGAAAGCACCTCACAAAATGCTTCTGAGGCAGCGTAATGGTTTAATGATATATTATACAACAAAATAGAATGAGCTTTGGTGATAACTAAGCAAATATTTAATTTCTCACTAGAAATAACATCAAAAGTGCAAAAAGTTGATCAGAAACATATATTTACACACAAACTGAACACCAAATGCAACTTTCAGACACCATCTTTAATTTTTTAGCTCAACCATCATGGAATGGAACGCACAGGATTGTCGGATATCAAAGGCCCTGAAGGATACATCTTCAGGCATCTCAGGAGGCAGGAAGTGAAGCTGACATTGGATTTGGACGTGCCTTTGAATGCATCCTTCAAAGGCAGCATTTTTCAGCTTTCAGATGCAGCCAATGTAACATCATTGGATTCAGATATGCCTTCCTACCTCTGTTTGCTGCCTACGGAGGCAGCATTTTTCAGCTTTCGGACACAGCCTTGATAATTACAGGCAAGTTTGTTGGAGCAGGGTTGACACGGATTTCTGCAGGAAGGTAGATCTCCAGAAATGGGATTGGACACCCCTGTTTAAACCAATAAAAATGTATATTTTTAATAATATGAGTAATGCCTGGCCAGCTAGACGGGAAAGCTTCTATTTTACCTTTTGTATGCTAATTTATGATCATGCTAGTCACATCAAGTTTCACCTATTGTAATCGTAATGGTATCAAGTGATAAGTTCATTTGAAGATCTTTCAGACTTGTAGAACAATGGATAGTCAAGAAGACCATACCAGAGTAAGCTACCATAAAATGTCAGTAGGTCTTGGGTTTCACTCAGCGTGAGATTTACTGGCATAATTCAGCTGCGCATAGAATAACATTTGTGATCTTTGGGGATGGATGTCAGTTAAACAACCTCTTAATAAGTCAGAATAAAATTTAATAAGGTAAACAAGCCTTTCAATAACTTCACAGTGTGCTATTGGTCAGAATCATCAAACTATTCATCAGATACACACACACCCCACGCTTATTTGTACTAGATGTTCTTTAAAATCCCGTAAATATTATTACAGACGTTCATTACACTTAGCCATCCCAATTTTGTAATGATGATGCTGTAAACTCCCCAATGAGGGCAGGCTAATACAGCATTAGCCTGGAGATTTGTTAAAGCTATGCACATAGCTGTCAGTATTGGGATACCAAATAGACTCACGGATCAAGTTTTCAACAAGCGAATTAGGACAATGAAGTTCAAATTATTTAAGAATAATCTACTGTTATGTAGCTAAAACATTACAGAATTGCTGTTCTTACTTTTATCCGGACAAAGGCAATGATAATTCACAACCAATAAAATAAAGTACCATTATGTTCTGTTGTGTGTGACTATACTTTTTATGTACAGGAACATGTAAATGAATAATAATCATAATTTCAAAATGAAAATGCTAATCTAAAAATGGTAACATCAAAATTAACTGGTTCATTCAAGTCATTTAATTCATTATATTTTTCATGAAGGATGTTTGAAGATATGCTCTCAGGAGAAAAAAAAACTTTCTTTCAAACGATACACCTTTTTACCTTATTTACTCCTTGGGAGTGCATATTAATGCCTAAATGGTGCATATTAGTATACTATAAATTGTACATATATTATTAGTACCTTTTAAAAGGGTACAAGCCTTAGTGGCAGCTTCTGTACCTTTTTTTTCATCTGAGTGTATCAAATTATGTTGTGTTGTATATAATCACTTCCCACAAGTGTTTTTGAACTCTTAAAAGCTCTTTGTGGTCTTTGCGGGTTAAAGGTAAATACAGTTAGTTGTAGCCTAATTGTCGTTCACACAAGCAATGCAATGCAATGAAAGCACAGAGAGAAAACATACATTAGAATTTTGTAGGGTGCTCTTTTTAAAAATAACCCATGCATGACCATTTTTGAATTAATCCACCGGAAGCAGTGAGCGAAATCACCACCATGAACAGTAACACAGGATCAAGCACTTCAATGATGACTGTTTGAAGCGTTCTTCTTATAATGTTCTCATTTGTCGCATCCTAGCCTACAATCTCGCTTCATTTTATGTCTTAAGCAATCTTAATAAACATGATTGAATTCGAATCTGATTGAACTGAATTTTTATTTTATACACAAAGCACACAGTTACCTGTTAATTCTACGTTTAAAAAAAAGTTCAGCTGTAGTTGCCAGAACTTCTCCATGGGAATACAGTGTTTATAGGGATACTATAAACACTGTATAATACTGTGTCTATATTTTAGAGTTCCTATTCATATTAATACACTAACCTATTTCACCTGTTGTTTTCTATGCTGATAATAACACAGGTGGTGCAATGGAAAATCAAACGATGCCTTTAAGATAATCGAAATAATAACAATGTCGCCCACACGAACACAAAACAGCATCAGTAAAACATTTGGCACTAAAATGATGCTATAATCTAAATAATAAAAAGAAATCTTATAAAACTAAACAAGGCGATTCATTGTTAAAACTTTAAGAAATTGTAACACATTTTATCATAAAAGTAGCCTATACGTTTTGTCGTATTCACACTGTAAGAGAGAATATTGTGAAACAAAAATGAGAATAAAAATAAAAAGTTTTCTAAACCTCAAGTTAATTGCATTAGCTCATAGGCAAAACAACAGGCTAATGGCTGTCTTCACTAATTAAGTTCACCAGTTAGAATTGAAAAATTACCTATGGTCGTTATCACAGTGATGGCGAAATAAAACGAGCCGGCGAACTTCCACTGGACTCCGGCTTTGTGAGGCTTCAGAAGCAGCACGACCTTTTCAATCTGATCAAAGTCAAGCCTGGTGAGATTATATTTATGCATAAGTAGATATTTTCGATAGTCTAGTTTGCTCTTGTGGCTTTTCTCTTGCTTTGACTCGAGAGCGTCGAAGACTCCCGCTCCAATGAGTAAATAGGACAAAGTGCAGATAATTAAGGCGAGTGTCCGCACGTTTTGTCTCTTCATCTTCTCATAGTCGCCTCAAAATATCCCTCAGGTTTCAAAGCTCCGGTCCGGCATGGAAACGTTCCTGATACGTGGCTTGTCATATCTCCCTTGTACCCCTTGGCAGAAAGAATCCAGCTGAGGGTCTCCTGAAAATCAGCCACAAGTGACCGTTAAGAAGTCGTGTTTAGTGGAGCTGTTCTTTCAGCACCACCCCCAGAGACTCACACACGCTCCTTATATGGGCATTTGTTCCTTCCACTGATAAGAGAACCATGACAGGTTTATACTGTCACCAGGGGCGTAGCCATCATTTCAGAAGTGAGGGGGACAGAAATGTTATATATATATAACATTTCTGTCCCCCTCACTTCTGAAATGATGGCTACGCCCCTGGTGACAGTATAAACCTGTCATGGTTCTCTTATCAGTGGAAGGAACAAATGCCCATATAAGGAGCGTGTGTGAGTCTCTGGGGGTGGTGCTGAAAGAACAGCTCCACTAAACACGACTTCTTAACGGTCACTTGTGGCTGATTTTCAGGAGACCCTCAGCTGGATTCTTTCTGCCAAGGGGTACAAGGGAGATATGACAAGCCACGTATCAGGAACGTTTCCATGCCGGACCGGAGCTTTGAAACCTGAGGGATATTTTGAGGCGACTATGAGAAGATGAAGAGACAAAACGTGCGGACACTCGCCTTAATTATCTGCACTTTGTCCTATTTACTCATTGGAGCGGGAGTCTTCGACGCTCTCGAGTCAAAGCAAGAGAAAAGCCACAAGAGCAAACTAGACTATCGAAAATTTCTACTTATGCATAAATATAATCTCACCAGGCTTGACTTTGATCAGATTGAAAAGGTCGTGCTGCTTCTGAAGCCTCACAAAGCCGGAGTCCAGTGGAAGTTCGCCGGCTCGTTTTATTTCGCCATCACTGTGATAACGACCATAGGTAATTTTTCAATTCTAACTGGTGAACTTAATTAGTGAAGACAGCCATTAGCCTGTTGTTTTGCCTATGAGCTAATGCAATTAACTTGAGGTTTAGAAAACTTTTTATTTTTATTCTCATTTTTGTTTCACAATATTCTCTCTTACAGTGTGAATACGACAAAACGTATAGGCTACTTTGAGTAATTTTTTTCAGGATTCTTTGATGAATAGAAGGATCCAAAGATCAGCATTTATGTGAAATAAAAAAGTTTTTGTAACATTATACACTAGACCATTCAAAAGCTTAGAGTCAGTATAATTTTTTTTTTTAGGAAATTAAATAAATGAACACTTTTA